TAATATAATATTATAATTAGATATATAAGACTAGTTAAAAAAGTAATAAAGTATCTATAATTATTTTAAAATAATATATAGTTAGTTTTTCTATATTTAGATATAGTAATAGTTTTAAATTTAAATAAATCTAATAAATTCTTCTTAAATAATAGAAATATAGAGGTAATATAAAGTAATTTAGTTAATCTTACTTAATAAGTTAAAGAAGTTTTCTAATATAAGCTATATAAAGTATTTCTATTTTATAAATATCTAAAATAATATTTTATAAAGAAGTTTACTTACTTACTAAAAATAAGATTAAGTTTAAGAAAGCTAGTTTTACTAGCTTTTAATTTTAATATTATAAATATTTTTATTTTAAAGCTAGTAATCTTAAAACTTAATTAAAATAAAATTATTTATTTTTAAATCTACTTTTATTTAATCTTAAAATAAAAAGAAATAGATAATAGTAATAAAATTTAGTTTAATATTATAATATAAATAAATTAATATAGGAATAATTTAGTATTATATAATTATTTTAATATATTATTTAAATATACTTTATTATATATAAACTAAGATCTTAATATAAAACTAAATAATATATTAAAAATAAATATTAATATAAATATAGATTTTTATTTTATATAGTATTAGTTTATTATATATATTAAAAGATTAGATAAAGTTTAATTTAGTATAAGTATAATTTAATTATTTATAGTATAATTTATTTAATCTTATTTAAATTATTTTAAAATAGATATTATAATAGATAGAATAAAGTAAATTTTAATTAATAATATATTATTTTTATTAAAATTATATATAAAGATAATTTTTTCTAAAATTTTTAATTAAACTACTTTTTTCTATTTAATTAAAAAATACTAATTTTATATATTTTTAAATAATCTTATCTTATTTTAGTATAAGCTAATAATAAAAGCTTATTTCTTTATAAATATTAATAAACTAAGATTTTAAAATTATATATCTTTTATATAGAAGTATTTAGAATAGTATTAGTTTTTATAGTCTTTAATAAAATAATTCCTAGATAAGTAAATAGAGAGAGTTTAAGATCTTTATAAAATTATATTCTTATATAAAATTTTATAATTATAATTACTAATATAAAGTTATTTTTATATAAAAAATATTATATTTAATTAAAAGTTATTAAAATATTTCTTTTTAAAGTTTTTTTTTAAAGATCTATTTTTTAATATTTAAATATAAATATTTAAAATTAATTATTAGGTAAACTATATTAATTATAATTATTTAAAATTAAGAAGTAAAAAAGAAAAAAAAAAATAAAAGTAAATAGATTTTATTAAATTCTAATATCTAAAATATTAAAATAAATTTTAATTTACTTTATATAAACTAGTATATTTTTATTTATATTTTTTTAATATAGATTTTTTATATATAAACTAGTATATTTCTATTTATATTTCCTTTTAATTAAATCTTTTAATTTTAAAGAAAAAAAAAACTTTTTTTTTATATTAAAGTAAGTTTAATTAAACTTACTTTATATTAGTTAAATTAATATTAATATTATCTTCTTTATCTTAGTTTTAAGCTCTAATAGGAGTAATTAAAGTAGACTTAGCTATCTCTATCTAAGAATTAATCTTATTAGTAATTTATATAAATATAGTTACTAGAGCTTATAACTAAATAGCTAAGATTATTAAACTTAGATTTATAAAAGTATTTTTAATTAAAGCTAAGATTATTTAGCTAATTTTAATAGGTATCTTTAATAGCTTCTTTTAATATTTACTAGAAGTTAAATTAATAGTATCTAATTTATTAAAATTTAATATAAATAATAATAAAAGGAATTAAATATACTATCTTACTTATATCTTTACTTAAGTTTAAGTAAATAGCTAGCTATCTAGTAGATATAATATATATAAGCTTAGCTAAATTTAACTTAAACTATATAATATAGGAACTTTCCTTAAGCTTTTAAGTATTTATTATATAGCTTTATTATAATTTAGTTAAATATATAGATAGTTATTATATCTATATATAATAGTTAATTATAGTTATTATAGTTAATAAGTAATTTTATATAAATTTAAATATTATTATTAAAATAGTTAAGCTTTTTTTAAATAATTAGAAGTTACTTAAATTTCTATTAAATAGATTAGTAATAGTCTATTTAGCTTAGAATTAAGTAAAAATATATAGACTTTTTTTTAAAGAGTAAGAATTAAAATATTTCTATTTTAAATTAATTTTATTTAAATTAAAGCTTAAGTTATATATTTTAAAATACTATTTTTAAATTCTTTAGAGCCCTTTTAAATAAATAGAAGTAGTTTTCTATTAAAAGTAAAAGGAGTAACTAGGTTTTTAGCTAATTTATAAGCTTTAGAATAAGAGGGTATTATTATACTTAAAACTAAGTAAAATTATTTAAAATTATTAAATAATATTAGAAACTATTATTAGAGTTTAAAAGGACTTAGCTAAAATTAAGTAATTAGGTAACCTATAAGTAAGATAAGGAATAATAAAGGAGGGAAAAAAAAAAAGAGGAAGAAGAAGAAAAGGATTTTTAAAGATGTAAAAAAAAAGGTGCCTATTAGTAAATAGCTTTTTCTATTACTATTTCCTTCTATTATTTTACTAGTTATACCTGCCTGTTGTTATTCTTGAAATATTGTGAACTTTGTGCTTTCCTTAAGAAGTTCTATTTCTTGAAATGAGAAGTTGCGCCTTCCAAGCTTGAGGTGCAAAGTTCAGTTATAGAAATATTATTTTACCGAAGTACTTCTAATATTTCTTATTACTTAAGGAAACTGTATGGGTTGGGGTAGTTCTAGTAAAAATTCGAGGGGTCGAGGTCGAAAAATTTCAAAAGTTACAAATTCGCTACAGGCTTCCGTAGTCGGGCACTACCCACCCGAACTTGGGCTGTGGTGAGGACTAAGTTGGGTAATTAAAACCACATGACCGCTAGAGACCAACCTGCTGTGGTGTCAGACGAGGCCCGTTAATCTTTGTTCTGTCTCGGTGGGGTTCCTGCAGTCTCTGGGACCACCTGGGCTCACCTGGGCTCACCTGTAGCCACCCTGAGGTTACGGTCTCTGTATAATCGCTTCGTGCCACCAGCCTCTGCTCTGCTGAATACTCTGACTTTCGTATACTTCCCTCGCAAATTTGAACGCGACCAAGAGCTGCTTCCTTTTTGGCTTAAGTTTCTCAACCCCACCCCCTCTCCTCCTTGTGCTCAACATGACTTCTTCTGAGCGTAACGGCCGGGCCCCGTGGCACGACCTGATCAGTATTGATCTCGTTCAAGCCTCAGGCTACCAATTCACCATCGGCACAGTCGATCATGATGCTCAAGGTCGCCCTGTACCGCGTGTACGGATTTGTGGCTGTCGTGGCTTCTTTCCGGAACTGGAGCTCCACCCGAACGGCCAAGAAGATATGAACCAGCAGGTAGAAGACGGTGGAAATCCATCTGTCTACGAAAGTGACATGTTGGTATTTACAACTGATGTTCGGATGGAGAAGCTGGGTCAGCTTGACTCGTCCGGGCATGCCATTGAGGCGATGTTCTGGTTCAAGGAACTCATGGCACAATGGAGAGTAAGGGGAAGAGCGTTCGCAGTAGGAAACCCTCTTGGTGATCGTAACGATGAAGAGAAGGCCTCCCGGGAAGCAATCAGTCATGGCCTACGAGTGAAAGAGAACCTTGACACCGACATTCGAAAATGGACCTGGGAAAGGGCGGTCACCAAATATTTTGCAAATCATTCACCAATGATGCGGGGTAAGTCGCTTTTTCCTTCAGGAACAGCTCGCTCCTTCTAGTTTCTAACCCCGGTGTTGTCCCTACATCTGCTATGGTTACACTTCTATGATCTTTTGTGCCTTCCTGCAATGGTATTGTAACCCTCACAAGTCCTATTTCTGCCTTGTTGTCGCCAATTCCCATTATCCTGCAGACACTATTCTGTTTGTTTTCTTCCTTCCTATCACTGCTTCAACTAATCTAAAAGATCAAGGTTCGTTCAAAAACCCACCACCTGGTCGACCTAGGTCCCAAATACCTAGTAACCCGGATTGGAGGCTCGGGCAGAAGGTCACAGATATCCATGACCCTGTTTCGCGCGCAAACTTTAGGGTTGTTGTCATTCAACCCGAGGAAGTGGAACGCCTGGATCTCTCTAACCCCGACAATGCCCGGAGATGGAAGTGGACATTAGAGGATACTACCTACGAGGGCCAATCTGCGAAGCAGTGGATAGAAACCGAAATATGGCCATGATTAATGTATTTTCAATAGATGAATTCAATAAGTACACTGGCCACTAAACCGACGTTTTCGCTTCTCTTGCATTTGGGCCCTCCCTGCATAATTACTCCCTATTCTAATTAAGTTGGACCCCCCAGTTGTCGCCACTTAATCTTCCGAATGTAACACAGACCCGTTCGCCCTCGATTGCCACACACTCTAGACGAGGTCTCGACTAGAAGGCCAATTAGCTCAGGGAGCTTTGGGTCGAGCTATTAGAGCGCCCCGCGACAGTGTTCTTATATAAAATATCAATGTGTTAACTAGTTACGGAGTTACATTAATAAGTAGTAACGAGTATGCGGAATCTTCGAGATTCGGCATTTTGGCCTTCTTGATCCAGTAATAGAGCCCGCCTTGCTAGGTCTATAATACAATATTTGATTCTAGGTAGCGAGTACTAAGGTGTACAACATGACTCCATGAGAGAATGCAAATGGGGCCTGGAGCAGAAATTTTTGACTATGGGAGTAAAACTATGCTGTAGATGCGTGTGATTGAGGTTGCATGTTAGAACGTGACATATTCCACCGTTTATTCAGCCCTACATCATAAAAGGCAAAGTAATAAATGCATACAGCAACTCAAGTCCCCTGATATAATGCTATATAGATTTCAGAAGGTTCCAGCCACGCGATAAAACAAAATCTAAATTAAAAGGTTGTTTGAGTCACCCGCTATGTTCTAGCCTGTCCACCATCAGTTAACAACAATGCACAGTTACAGATCTTTACGTCTCAAATTTCAGGTAAGACAAGACAAACATAAATAGATAGACCTCTGAAATGACCCAAGGAAAGCTTCTTCTGACCCAGATCTGCCCCATTCATAGGATTTAAGCCAGATATTTAGCAAACCAAGCCACCATCTGATTCTCGGCCTTATCAGCCATGCCTTGTTTGACGGATCAAACCGGACAGCGAAGCCATGTTTCGCATCAGGAATAACCACCACTTCAGTAGGAACATCTTTCAGATCATCTAAAGCCGCAATCATCTTGTCCACCTCTTGCTTGGGAAGGGCAAAGTCGACATCGCCAACTGAAACACTATACGGGAGCTTGATCCTTTCCATGTCGGGCGGAATTTCGAGCGCACTCGGATGAGCTGTGAAGGCTGCATCGATAAGTGTCTTTCCGTTATCTGCAGTGTCGCCATGGGCGAGTTTTGTTGCTGCGTATCCACCCCAGCAGAAGCCTATGAAGCCTACTTTCATATCTTTTGCCTCGTTACATCGGAAGTCGTTTAGCCATCTCTTCATGGTGATTAAACACTTGGGGGGCGAATTCTTAAGGTGGTTCGGGATCAATGCGTAGGCGCATTGGACGCACTGCCACCTATATCGAGGAGGTTAATTCTCACTTCAACGTACAGATTATGGCGATCAAACAGGTTTATGGGACCACCTACGGTTTCCGTAACCAAGCGGCGAAACCCTTCTCATCCAGAAGAGAAGCCATGACTGGGGCAATCCACTGAGGAGCTCCATCACCTGTAGATGAGCGTAGAAGGTTAGCTCTCTTTAGAAATAGATATCTTACCATTCAAAGATTTCCGTTTTCTATGTTGATATGCTCGCTTCTCAACCGCCAAGATGCTGGGGACTCACCGGTCATGAAGTTTGGCACGTAGACTTGACACCCTGTACGACGCGCATATTGATCCGCATTCAACCGTGTGTGGTTCGTCGTCCAACCAAAGACATCCGGAGCGATAACAATGTAGGCCCTAGGTGTAGGATCCGTAGGTGCTGCGACGTATGTCGGTAACCCGTGGACCTCAAGTATTTTCCCTTGAGGTGTCCCTTCCCGAAGGTGTCCACTGAAGCAGTCTGGGCAGGACATCGTGCTCTGCACACTAGTATGCCACCCACAAAACAGTGATCTTGCCTTAATGCTTTTTAAAAGCTATTTTCTCTACCGGCGCTCCCGGCATGTGAAGGTTACCGTTTGCAAAGATATAGTCCCCGAAAGTGTTGTTGGAAAAATGAAGGAAGGTGCCGATAAGTTGCCTGACTAGCTAAAAACTCGGCTGGAAATTCCACTGCCTCTTATACTGGAATGGATCCTAGTATGACGCACCAAATAACCCCGTATTTGATCCTCGCCAAAAGATTCGGTGCCAAAATTATAGTGCCAAAATTATAGTGCGACACAGAAGCCTATTCCGGTGTCGAAAAGGGCTTATTTACAGTGGTGTTTCCGTTAAATCATTGTGGTTATGGAACAGGCCGCACAGGCTTGTTCTAACAAGTGTTTATGACCCATGACTTGAGGTCCCACCGAGACCAGTGCATTCAGACAATCGGGCGTTTGTACGGAGAACGGAGTTGGGATAGTTTCCGTGTACCGGACTGAAGTGGGTGGTACACCCCCTGTCTGGTGGTCGAAATATCCGCCCAAGATTAGCCACGGGGTCCTTATGACACGCTTATCATGCTAAACCACTTCTTGCTGATTCGAGGGATTACTCTTCACTTGCGAAAAGATTCTCGGGTGAAGATGCAGATAATTTGGACCCCCTGATACCATAATTTAGTAACGGAAGAGCCTTGATGTGGGCGGTATACTAGGTAGATAGTGTGGTACTAAACTTATACGTACTGTACACACGTTGGTTTGAGCGTGCTGTCAAGAGTCGAATGGTCGAGACCCCGCAATCTGGCGTCTCCACCCGGGTGGGTAGTCAGTGGAGTAGAAACGACGTCCGTACCACCCATTTTTCGAGGCCAAATATTTCTCTACTAGGAATACAATAAAATATAAAAATATATTATACTAAATTATATACTATTTAGATCTAAATAAAGCATTATATTTTAATATACTATTTATAAAATATTATTTTTATTTATAATTATTAACTTTTAAATTTAGAAAAATATATTTTTAAAATTATATAATAAATATTTTAATAATATTTATAATTAATTACTTAATTACTATTTATTTTAAATTTAAATTTATCTATTTTAAAAAAATAAAATATTTTAATAATTTATATAAAAAGTAAATAATATTATTATTTTTTATTTTAAATTAATTTATTAATTATTATTATATATTATATTAAATAGATTTATTATTAGTATATAAATTTAAATTTTAAATTATAATTTATTTAATATATAATATATATAAATTTATTTATTTATATTTTATATAATAATAAATTAATATAATTAATAAAAAATTTTAAATTTTAATATCTATTAATTATAATATACTTTATATAGTTAAATATAAATTTATATAAATTTATATTAAGTAATTGTTAAGATATTAATATTTTTAATTTTATTTTATTAAAATACCGTGGTCGGACACTTTTTCTACTCCACTGGCTAGGGAAACTCTACGGTGTTGAAATACGCGGATGGCCCCAAAAGGTCTTATATACCCTGAAGACTCGCATCCATCTTGTTCGGTGAAGTGCAGCTCATTAAGTGATACCTGTCACAGCCGAAGCCATTTCCAGCCTCAAGTCCAACAACGCAATATATCTACATCATGTCTAACAACGCGACTGCCGGGAAGAATCGCGCATTGTGGTTGCATTCATACGATAAGCCTTTAGATTTGATCGAGTTGCCAGAGCCTGAGGCTGGGCCGGGATCAATCGTGATCAAAGTCCTCGCAACGGGATTATCGCCCTTCGTGGAGGACATCCACAATGGTACTCTGGACGTCTACAACCTGCACTTGCCGCTGGTTCCTAATCCAGGCGCCATCGGCCGTGTGCACTCTACTGGGCCGGACACGATCGTCTTCAAACCTGGTGACCTAGTATATTACGACCCAATGGTTCGAGCCCGCGATCATCCTGGTGTCTTCATCTTGACCGGACATCATGGCGGAGAGGGCGAAGCTGGGAAAAAGCTTATGCAGGGCGAGTGGAGAGACGGTTCGCTACAGCAGTATCAAAAAGTGCCGCTCGAAAACTTGTACAAACTTGACGAAGATCGACTCTTAAAACAACTGGGTTACCATCCCGCAGAGCTCTCAGAAATCGGCCTCCACTCCATGGTGTTAGGAGCACTGGTGGAGGGTGCTGAAACACGAATCGGCGACACGGTCATCGTGGGCCCTGCCACGGGCCTCTTCGGTGGTAGCACGGTCGAGATGGCGCTTCTACTCGGCGCATCGGTGGTGGCACTAGGTCGAAGCAAGGAGAAGCTGGATCGGCTGGCGAAAAGGCTGGGTGATCCTGAGCGACTCACTACCGTTGTTATGACCGGTGATGTCAAGGTGGACGCTGCCGCGATCAAGGCTGCGACACCGCGAGGAGAGGGTGCTGACGTGTTTAACGACTGGTCATCGAGCTCACTTGACCATGCGCCTTTCTATACCGCGGCTTTTCTCGCCCTCAAGCCCAAGGGCCGCGTCGCCCTGAGTGGTGCACCAAGCGGTTATGTCAATATCCCATATACGTTCACTATGCATATGGGCATCAAGATTACTGGACAAAGCATGTGCAGTCGAGACACTATCTTGCAGGTATTGAAGATGGTGGACTCTGGTGTGCTCAAGCTCGGCCTGAAAGGCGGGGCAGATGTCGCATTTTTCACTTTGGATGAGTATCTCGAGGCACAAGAAAGGGCCCAGAAGGAAGGTGGCTTCAAGAACTTCACCTACGTGACTCCCAATATCGAGTAGACTCAGATCCGTGTGTGATGTGAGTTCACGCTTACGCGGTAGCCATTAGTATAGAGATGAATACAAAAGATATACCAACAAAGCGTATACGTTAGTACCGAACGCTGTAATGATACATAGCGTTGAGCTTGTGGTGTTTGTGGCTTTTTGTGCCGTATTATAGTGAATACCGAGGTTTGACCCCAAAAGTTCCAACGGGGCGGCTAGATAGCCGTCAGAATTTTGAATGTATCCGTGTATTGAAGATTGAATCGATGAAGATTGAATCAATCTACCGCCTCTTTTCCTCGGCCTAGGCTCATATTTGTTACTTTCAATGTACCTCACCAAGGTGGGCTATCAAAGTTGCAGGAAAGTGATCTTCATTTGACTTCCAAAGAGCTGAGGGAAGGTTGACAACGGCTATCTACGTGCTTTATCCCTTTGGAAATTCGGCCAGCCATGAAGGGGGCGTCATGATATACATGTTTGTTCTGTCATCTACAAATACCCCAAAGCGTCGGCGACGACCTATTTACACAACAGTTCCACCACCCACGGGTAGCCAGACACCATTGATCCATCCAGATCGTTCTTCGCACAAGATTGCCACGGCCCAGGCGACCTCCTCCGTTTTCGCCTCTCGTGGGGCGACAGGGGTGGCCTCAATGCTCGGCCGCAACATGTCCCGCACCGCCTGTGGTGCCGCAAGATAGCCCTCCGTCGCGACGATACCCGGAGCAACGGCGTTCACGGTGCAACCGTACTTACGCGGTAGCTCCGCAGACCAGCAACGGGTCAGCGTCTCAATCATGCCCTTAGAGCCGGCGTACATGCTCTGGCCGGGCGCCGGGATGCGCGACGACCCGCTGGCGATGTTGACGATGCGCGAGTTCTTGTTCGATAGGATTTTGAGTACCTCGCGCGTTAGGAAGTAGGTGCCTCGACAATTGAGATTGACCAAGCGGTCCCAGAAGCCCTCGATCTTAGCGTCGTCCGAATCATCTAGCTGGCTGGGTAGCATGATGCCAGCGTTGTTGACCAGGATATCGACGTGGCCAAAGGCGTCGGCGGCCGCTTTCACCAGATTTTTGACACCCTCGTAGGTTCCCAGGTCCGCCTCGACGGCGATCGACTTGTTTGGTTGGGGGAAACTGGCTAACACATCTTCGGCATCTACTTTATTGGTTGCTGCGGGATAGTTGACCACCACGTTGACGCCACGAGATGCCAGTTCAATGGCGCAGGCCTTGCCGATGCCGGCTGACGACCCGCTGACGATGGCAACTTTTCCTTGGAGGGAGGATACCATGGCGATGAGATGTGCGAGGAAGTTCGTAAAAAAGAGAGCCACTTTTACAGTACACTCCCGTCTGTGACGACAAACTATCTCACTTAATTAGGGCTTCAAAGAATGAGTTTATTCCTTCTTTGGCCAGGTCTCGTTCAAGTTGTTGCCCACATCGGACATAAGCCAAAAACCGATCACCACCCCGAGAAGCCACCATTTTGTGGGTTGGGTGGGCGTAGCTTTAGCTGGCCTCTTCTTGCTCCGAAGGTCAGATAATAGTCATGCCGAAGTTATCTCCTGAAAGCACAGAACCCGTTCTGCAGACTCCACCCGCATTGCCCCTTGGCCTGGCTACTCCAAAGCGACGAGTAAAGGCCGGCGGTGGTTCCTGAAACTCAAATCATACCCACCGAACCCACCACCACCTAGACGCCTAGACCCACTTTTCCCCCACCTTCCCCAACGCTTGGTGGTACACTTCTGATGGCCACAACCTCCTCCGAATGTTGTAACTTTCAGTTCTATGACTATCTGGTCGGGGTGTGTACCCGTCCGAGTGTCCGAGTGGGGTCAGGAGCTGTCAATGGATGACGACCCGGATACTGGAAACATCTAACTACCGGATCGTGTACTGAGGTACCAGAAGCTCAGATGATGATGAGCCCACCGTTAAGTTCGAGACTTGGTCGGTTGTTACCTGCAAGGATAAGTTTCTAAAGGAGTTTGTGTAGCCACCTGGCCGGCGCCGAGACCCGCTAGCATCTGAGTGCCCGCTGATGATTCGAATCCATAGTTTACCGGTGGCCAAGAGGCGCGCTTCAGGATGTTTGGGGTGGCCCCACCCACTGTCAAATTCCGTGTCTTGTAAATAACCCCCATATTATTCGGTACATTTTGCGGATCATCACAAACACAAGGCAGCTGTCTATCCAAAAGGTCGCAAAAATGGTCAAATTCTACGAAGACAGGGCGCTACAGGAGAAGCATGACAGCACGTATCAGACTTTACCGAAACCCGTGCGTGTTCTGCCTCCAGGGCTCGATGAAGCAGCATTCGACAGAGTATTGATCGAATTCCTTGCCATTGTTGGCAAAGAGAACGTCGCTTCTGGAGACGAGGTCATCAATTTCAAAGATCCGTATCCTCTGGACAACGAAGCCCACCAACCCTCGGCAGGCGTGTGGTAAGCAAATTGCCATGTTATCATTTTAACCAATGGAGAACCTATTGACCGTGAGCAGTCCTGCCACCCTCGAAGAGGTCCAGGCTATATTGGACGTGTGTAACCGCTATGTGGTTCCGGTATGGACCTGCTCGCAGGGCAAAAACTTTGGGTAAGTCTTGCCACAGGCTTTTCACCAACTTTCCGGGATGCTGGACTGATTTTTTTTTTCTCCAGCTATGGAGGTCCAGCCCCTCGAGTGGATGGCTCCGTTGTACTCTCGCTCCATCGCATGAACAGAATCATCGAAGTCAACGAAAAACATGCGTATATTGTCGTCGAGCCTGGTGTAACATTTTTCCAGATGTACGAGTACTTGCGTGAGCACAGGAGCCGACTTTGGATCAGTGCCCCTGCTTTAGGCTGGGGCAGTATTGTCGGTAATGTAAGACTTGAATCGGTAACTAGAGGTTAAGGTGCTTCGAGCTTATTTACGTCTGTCTAGACTCTCGATCGAGGCCACGGGTATCTTCCGTCTGGCGACCGTCAACACTTCATAGCGAGTATGGAGATTGTCCTCGCGAACGGGGAAGTTATGAGAACTGGCCAGTGGGGTCTGAAAGACGGGCCGGCCACACACTTGTGTAGCAATCAATTTGGACCCCAAATACACGGCCTTTTCCTTCAGAGCAACCTAGGCGTGGTAACAAAGCTAGCCCTGCACCTCGATATCGCCCCGCAGGCTATGATCTCCGTGGTAGTGAGTTGCCCCGAAGTCTCCCAGATAGAAGGCTTGATCGACTCGTATGAGGAACTCTACCGAGAGCGAATATTACAAGGCCACCCTTCGATTCACAATGTCAACCATTTCGCAACTCGGTTTTCGCGTAAGTACGAACAGCAAACCGACGCTGGCCCATTAAGCAAGACGAGTCTCGAAAAGTTAGCCGCAAAATTCGGCACTGGTTATTGGCGGAGTAATTTCGACCTCTATGGTACAAAGGCCATGGTTAATCTTCGTTGGGAGAGAGTCCAAGAAGTTCTGTCCAACAATATTCCTGGCTGTAAAGTGGAACATACCTTCTGGGAAGGTGAAAACGGCGGGCCTGTGGACCAGACGAAAATTGGTACAGTGGGCGCCGGTGTTCCCGCCATGTTTGCTGCTGCCCTGGCTGATTACAACCTCCCTGCCGATGGAACTGGTGCCGGTGCCCATACCGACATTACGCTCCTGCTCCCGAGTAACGGTAAGATAGTCCATGATTGGTTTGTCCGCATGAGAAAAATTATGGAGGATGCAGGTGCAGACCCTTTTATTGGGTGCCACGTCTGGGACCGACATGTACTCTTCGTCCAAGAGTATGTGTATGACAAGACGAGCGCCAGTGCACGAGCACGGGGCCGGGAAATCATGACCGCTATCGTAGACGAAGCTAAGAGATCCGGCTATTCCACATATCGATCACACTTAATGCACATGGGTAAGTCGCCATCTTTTGAAGCTATTGAGGTCCGACTTACTGACGAGGCGTTAAAGATAAAATTCAAGACTGCTTCGAATTTAACAACCATATTTACAAACGATTTGTCGAGCAAATCAAGGCGAGTTGATAGGACTCTCTATATGTTATGTTGTTCGTTGATCAATACTAATCGCTATTCAATAGGCCAGCATCGATCCCCGCGGCATCTTGTCGCCTGGAAAGAACGGTATCTGGCCTTCAAAGCTGTCGGAGAATTTTGGACGGCTCAAGATATAATAGACATGACTGGAGAAGACAGCGGTCATTAGGTTGGCAAGACCAGGTGTAGCCATGTTAATATCTTCGCAGGCTTAGACGACCCGTAGCTTTGTAGGTCCCCAGGCCTTGGGATTATATACAATTTTGTTCGCCATACTCCCATACGCTTGACCTGGTAGAAACACTTTCCTTTTTCCTTGGGCGCGACCAATCCACCTGGGTCTTCCGCGGCGCCCTTGGCTAGTGAAGCCGACCTCTGCTGAATCACGCGGGGCGTAGGCCTAGAATGCTTTTCTCGATATTGTTCACCGATGAATATGCAAACAGCAAGAAGGCATTAATGGGGTTTCCTGCCGCCCGACAGAGGAATAGATAAGAAGGGGGCATAGAGTACTAATCCGGTGGATTGAGTATGCATTCATAGTCAAAGGTTCTCTTTCTAGATCGTTCCAATTATAAGAAAGAAATAACACACTCAAATTGGGCAGAAAGGCAGAGAGGATAAAAGTATCATCGGATGCACGTAGACGCTAAAATCTACCGGGTGGCTTGGAGGATTTAAGCATAGGATCGGGTGACGGGTAGCAATATCACACAATCTACGAACATAGTCAGAACCGATAGCTTAGAGAATTGGACTTCACTGGTACCTTGACTGTCACTTTGCTAAATGTCACTCTGAAGAGGTGGTTAGCATGGCAAAGTTTGATGAGGCGAAGCCGTTCAACACCAATCAATGCAATTGGTAAAATAGGTTAGGTAGATGACGGGACCCATTGAAATCACTTCTTGGTCAAAAATATAAGGGAGCTTGATCCTCGGTAAGGCTGGTACCTAGTTTCATTAGTGAATCCGGCCGCTGTCTCCCATGTGCTTCGCCGAATAAACCCATCCCGGCTGAACAAGATCTTCAGCACGGCTATGCGACAAATCTTGTGGTCCTTTCTTTCATAAGGCTATCCCAACTCTCAACAGGAATAAATTCTTGGAACGCCAGCTTTCCGCCACGTGGTCGTCGGTAAACCCAACGACCACCACGTCTTGGAAATCCCCCTCTCATGTTGCACAAAATGTACTCTCCCCCGTCGGTTTTAAGGTCGTCGTTGATTGAAACACTGCCTAGTTTGGACCTGCAAGATTGCGTAATAGATAGATGTCATGGCGTAAGCCTAACAAGTTGCGATGCCATATATATTGGGTCCTAAGTCATATCCGCCGAGCGCGGATATAGTGGTCTTTTTGTTCTACATTAGGAATCAGGTGACCCAGGCTGACTCCACCACAATTTGGCGGTAGGGACAAACATGGCTGGATTGTGACGATGGGCTCCCTCATGGTAGGTTGGATAGCCTAAGAAATTAAGTCGGCCTCAAGATGAAAGATACCGGGGAGGGAGATACCGAGATGGGAGATACCGGGTAGGAGGCGATATTAACAAAAACCTCCAGCTAGATAGCTTTCCTCTTCTTCTTTTCCCCAGACTTGATACTTCGTTGAATGCTACCGTGTTGATTTGAGATCTCGGTGCTTGAGTGTAATATGGTTCGGGATGATAAGAGGAGGCGCTCCCTTTTCTAATCACGACAAGGAGACCTTGTACCCTTCTCATGGAAGACTGCTTTTTATATAGAACGGATCGCGGAGTGTCCTTGCGACGTTCTTCGAGAAAAAGTTTTGCTACAATTTTAACTTGTTACCTTCCTTACCCCGTTGACAGGTCTCCTGCTCTGCGGGTAGATTGTACCTTAACAGAATTCGGCAGCTGGCTTTAATGATAGCAGATCCTATGGGATTTTTGTGGCAAATGCCTTGTCTTTAAGATTTTCACAGTAATGCGCACGCGTTCTGCTTTAATTTCGCACGAAGAGAAGCACCGTGATGTTGCGGTCTAAGGGTCCGTTTAGTAGTTTCCACTCAGAACTCCTCAAGGGCCTCCAAGGACCTTTTTCGTGAATTGGGATAGTCTGGCAAAAGTGAAATATATATATTTCAAATGTCATATAGTCCGGAAACTTTATATAAACATGCAAAACTGTGGAGGTTGTTGAGGTGAGGGATAGCATATAGGAGGAGCGATAGCATATGCCAGTTACTCAATGATATTGAAAATATCTATTAAATCGTAGATAACCCGTACGTAGAAGTGTTCTTTACACACTTCCTAAATGTCCGCTTTACTATACAGAGCTGGCGTGTCTCTCGGGGAGGACGGACTAATAGAAGCTCTTAGTCAAACGATATCCATCAAGGAAGCCTTAGCGGTATTGAAGACTGCTGAAACTCAACAGAGTTAGATACGTCCGGATTGATAGTCACGTGCTATGAGATGATAGTAGTAGCTGTGACGAGTAGTCTAGTGTTCAGTATGGGAAGTGCTAGGTTTGCATCCCGAAGTTTGCGAGTTTGATGATGGGAGCCAAGTTACCGAGTCGGCATGATAAGAGATGGCACTCGTTATCAGTGGGAGATATCAAACACCCGGCCCTCCCAAGATAGATTCTCTTCTTCTCTCTATTCACTAGACTTTATTTCTTCGTTGAATATACATGATTGCTCCGACTTCCTCTTAGCTGTAACAGTAGCTTCTGGGTAGCTTTTTTCTTCTCTCTCAGTTCGCTTTTCAATACAGACCATTTTGTTCAGATCTCGCTCCCGTTCGTAGCTTTCGGTTTCTTCAGCCCAACATTTGCCTTCCTAGGTCTCAACAAAGGTGGGTACCACGTGAATAAGTATGTTTCTAGTGGTATGTTACCGGCCCATCTCCTTGCCACAGTATCTCGCTGAGTATCACAAGGATCGAACGTCGTGGGGTAACTTGAAATGCAACGGTACTATGAGGGATAATAGCAGGGTGAGAGTGTCTCAGGCTTCATACCTAGTGCGCGCGACTCAACACGCATTAGGATTTGAGTCTTAACTGTGCGATTAAGCATTCGATCTTCCGGCCAAGAGTTTGGGGCCCTGTTGGTAATAAGTATTAATCACAAAGAAAAGGCAACGAAGGAGGTGTGATATATACATTGCCAACTCGCCATGTCAACAAGCAGACTGGCACAGCTCTCCAGTGGGAAAAGCGTATGATCGTGCCCCTCCTGCTGTGGTGGATCATCCACTTCTGCAAATGCTTCGTTTATCAATGCGTTAAGGGACACACATGCCTGTTCTTCCGATGGGTTGGACCGTTGAGTCTGAAGGTGCCAGTACAGCAGGAGGCCTAAGAGCAGATAGTTTAGATAGAGTTATAGACTGTCCGGTCAGGCTCTGTAGGGCTCAGTGAGAAACTCTTTTGGGGAGTAATAAGGAAACATACAGCCTTCCACCATCCCCGGTACGGACGGTGGTGGTAAGCGATAAGACCCAGCGTTATGCAAATTGGTCAGGCCAAGTTGACAATTTTTTTTGAAAGTTTCACCAGCACGTCTTAGAGCCTTGTCTAAATGCTCTGATCGAGCCCCTTCGAAGACTTGAGTTATGTATGTAACATCACTGACCGCCTCGGGAGTATCTAATAGGTTTATCAGCGACGAGAGCTGGCAACTTGCGTATAAATGAAAGGTTGCAGAGTCTAGGAGCGATCTAGAACATTGCAGGAGCGGCGACGGTAACGAGATGTCCGAGTCATCACTGAGTTCGTTGAACATTTCGAGGAGAACATTGATCGACCTGTCCAATCTTGAAGCGAAGCTTGTGTACAAGTCAACGTATCTGGCGCCTGTAGCCCTCTCGAATGAGCAGATTTGGTAAAGGACCGCGGCAACAATGGTAAGGAAACCAAAATTGCTGACTTGTCGTTCGGGCTTTTGACCCATGTTGATGGAGTCAAGTGCTTCTGAGAAATTCAAAACTTCGGGCGGCTGATTCCACTCCTCCTCAACCATGAGCCAGTCTCTGGTTGATGAAGGAAGCGCGAATATAGGATCCATGTTGGTGAGATAGAGCGGACGATTGGTCGGAACGGAGCTAAAAGAGGCCTCAATGAGCATTCCCGCTGCAACGCACCTCGAATTAGGTTAGAATGTAGTTTATTCAGCTGGAAGGCTAAATACATACTTACCTATTAAGGCATTCTCGCTGCACCCATTCATGGTAGGCCTCAGATTGGACAGGCTTTAGTTCCGCGAGTGCATCGGCTAAGAGCTAAAGAAGCCTATTGTTTCAGAGTCTAGTTTTGTCCGATAAGTTCCAATACAAAGACATACACTAGGAAGGAAAGTGATTGCTTTGAATGAGCTTTGACGCAATTGCCAGACATCGGTGTAGGCACCAAAATACCCAACGAGGAGGTTTACTTGCACGACCCACAGCTGGATCTTCTTTTCGTCTTTTCCGGGAATGTGGTTTCTTTGCCCTACGTCCTGCGTCAGCGCATAGCCTTGGATGGTCAATTTCGCAGTGTCCCCAACCATTGTGTGAATCCAGTGATAAGAGCTCCATAGCACTCGCGTGCAACCTTAAAGCTGTGAATTTGTCACACAGGCTCATTGCTCCGCAAGCCATAATTTCTATGAGTAGAGGTACTAAGACAGGGCACATGTCAGCAACGGTTTTCCGAGTATATGATTCACCCACCACTTACTTGGCGTGTTCACAATGTCAAACGAGGGTAGATGAATGATTGGCAGACAGGGAGCCATATGCTCGAAGAATGCTTTGACGTAACGAAGGACACTGTGTTTGGTGGGAAAGCGAAATAAAGGAATCTTCCGTTCCGAGTCAAACGAAGCAAAGTTCGCCTGTAGTTTAGCGTACCCGTCATCATCAAGCACAAAGGTTTTACCATCAATCTGACTAAATAGTTGAAAATGCCGCGAACTTTGTACCGGGAATTCTAGAGCGGTAACAGGCGGAAAGTTTGATATACGGCAGTTTGGCATCGCGCGAGGTATATGTTGACCTGATGACAATTGTTGGAAGCCGGAGTCGAACAGCTGCCACAAGGCTGATTCTGACTCCGACTCTGCACCTTGACTGGAAGGAAGGCTATCGAGGCTAGAAGAAGCCAGTGGATCTAGAACGACATTGCTATCCAGCATATCGAGATCGCCAAGTCGCAGCTCCATGCTAGAAGCTATGGGCTCGACTTGCATGGGTTGGGGCTGGGGTAGTTCGGGCAGTGGTTGCAAGGTCGCAGTGCTGAATCCGTCAGAATTTTGCGAAGGGGTCGTGGTCACTGCCACCGCTGAATCAGTCTTCGATGTTACGTCGAACGAAGAAACGCCAACATGAGACTCGTCAGCGTTGTTCGCCTCGGCGTATATAAAGTGTGCTCGAATTACTTCCGCATGACAGTTCTTGATATGCCGAACAATCACGTCCTTCCTAGAGGATGAGACGGTGCAAAAAGAACAACTGAACGGCTTCTCCGGTCGATCTGGTTTGACTAACATTAGAGACGCCGCTTGATATGAGCGTGGGATTGAAGTAGACTTGCGTGTTTTCTCATGCCGTTGTAGGTGGGCTGCACGGTTAAAGCTAGCCTCGCAAACCGAGCATTGAAAAGCTTTCGGTCTACCAGTCGCCTGCCAGCGATTACGCCGCAGATTTGACCGGACCGGAACTGATGTAGTGGATGATATCATACCAGATTTCTGCGTCGGCCTGCGTCACGATCCCGACTGCGTCTCATGTGGGTTGGGGGAGACAGGGAAAATACGAGAGGGGAGAGTTTGAAAGACGGACTCTGGGAGACTAGACTAGGTAAAGAGTCGGGGTCACATGAGATCCTAGGCGGTAAGTGGAAGACGTGTAAAACACCAAGGACTTCCGGGGTAAGTCGGCTTAAGAAAAAGCGGGGTGCGGGGCTCGGCACTTGTTTTCCGGGGAACCATCCGCTTACGGATCAGGATCAGTTCTCCACGTAACTAACAAGATTACGTAACACGTAAATGTGCTAGATCAGCCTTACGGAGTAAACTTTGAACGATGCTAGGTTGGATCTTGCAGGGTTATTAGCGGGTAGTTTGATACTAGTTGGTGGGTTGTTGGGGAGCATGAGCTGCGTCTTCAGGATGCTGAGCAGCCAGGCTACAATGGCGTGGCCAAATTGTGGTTGGCATGAAGAGATAGAGCATAATGTCAGCACATGCCTCCTTAAAATTATTTTACCTACGGTTAGTTAAAAATCCGGATGTTAAGAAGGTAGTTACAGTTAGGCCAACCAGCTGATCTTTGCGCTCATGGCACCTCGTATATGATGATCACGGAGGGTAAAAGCAGTAGTGGGGGGATTCACATTGATACGATGCGTCCACTTTCTAGTAAAAAGTTATTATTGAGAAAACAAAAGCTTAGGATAATGAACGGTGCGTCAGTTAATTCCAGTGCTGCTAGCAGCAACATTTGGTAACACAAGCATCCAAGAACACTCTCTACTGATTCTCGAGGGGAAGCAATCCTTGGCCACTAGGTTTGGCGTCGGGAAAGTCAAGTGCAGGGTTGAAACTAGCCTCGCCTCCAGGAATATTCGCAACATCACACCAATTTCCATGAACCTGGTTCACCAGGCGGAAAGGGAATCTGATCAGGGCAATGGGTTTTGAGAATTGCCTAGAGTCCAACACAACCAATTCGCTGTAGCCCCGAGACATATGGTCGACCATACCGACCATGTATCCATCTGCTTCAGGGGCGTCGGCCGATCGAGGTATGAAGATAGGCTCTTCTACATAGGTGTTTTCCCCGGGATAAAAGTACTCGGTCTTGTTCGTCTCTCGATCATACTTGCAGAAACAGTTAAATCCCATGTATGATGGTGGAGCTTCAGGATAGACACCAATACAGTAGAAGTAGCGATATTTGCTGGTCAGGATGCGCTCGTCGATCCGTGGAAACTCCGCAGCATGGCTGATAGTGAGTTTAGGGTCGGGAAGTCTAGCACCATCGGGCTGTGAAAGATCGATCTCCCACAAGGGAATGTCGAATTGGTACTCCGGGGGGGGATTTTCTTTCGACGGCACCGGAATATCTGGACCGTTGAAGACAGGGAAGAAGTTGAAGCCCATAACTCTGCTCGTTTCGAGCATGATCTTTCCGTCCTCTTCCCAACCACCGACGGAGTGGATCGTGATGCAGTTGTTCCAGTAGTAAGTCCTCCATTCTCCGTCTTTCCAACCGGGTGGAAGGTTCTTTCCTCGCCTTCGTGGTGCAACTAGAAAGGCGGACTGGTGGGTAGGATCCCAACGCCAATGGTGCCCCCCTTCTTGCATACGTTTAAGGTCTGCATTAAAAGGCATGAGCAAGAGCACGATGAAATTCTTGGTAACGACGCAGTCGTGAACCATAGCGGGCCATGGAAGCTGCAACCAAGAAACATCTTTTGTGTTTCCATCCTTGTCTATATGGTAAATGACGGCGTCCAAGCTAGCAAGGCCTTTTGCCTCACACCCGAAGACAACGAGCTCGTTCGTATAAGGGTCGACCTTAGGGTGGGCCGCAAAGGTTTTGGAGTTTCCTGGTGCCTTGAATGGATCGTATTCCAGGGTTTCGAGGGTATTCGGGTTCAGTTCATAAGGCAGGTTCCCCTCCTTCAAAGCCAGAAGCTTCCCGGCCCAGAGAACAAGGTTTGTATTGGCAGTTGAATCGATAGCAGCTTGAACGCAAGGATGATGGGTATAGGGGTTCCGGTACAGCCCAAAGAGACGTTTGCCCGCCTTGCGTTCCAACTTCAATCGCTCCGTCTCAACATACTTGAGCATCATATCGACTTTCCCGTCGTGGAATCGGAAGGCGGAGACGTTCCCATCGCCCTCAACAGGGAGCCAGTTATCAGGGTGCATGGGGTAGAAAGGATCAACTGTTACACGATAGAACGTGCCTTTGATCTGCTTGGGGACCTCCCCAAAGATTTCCAGCTCGGTAATAGTTCCATTCCAACGATGAGGAGGGTGCATAACGGCTGGGTTGACGGACTTCTCCCATTGCGAGTGGAGACCAAAATTGGGATCGACGCTCTGGTTCATGGCAGCCAATGCCGCCTTGTGAGGATTTGGGTTATCCATGATTGATTGTTCGCGCCTTTAGGTGATGTGTGTTGCTTCCCAGAAAGGATGGTGCTGAAAATTCAGGGTTGTCGTTTGTAGTGCGGTCGTGCATAGATATGGACCTAGTTTCCTCCGTCGTGGCCGCTTCGAGAGATTGAAAAATGCCACTGTGTACCCCACGGGCAGGTGGGTGAAATGTCTGTGGGGTTTTCGTATATCCAACGTCACATTTTTTGGGGTGGATTGGAATAAATGGCGTTGCCCGAGATAGTATCAAATGTAGACGCCTTTCATACGATGGTACGGCGGCCGTTGTGCCTATACAACAGCATGCGTTTCGGCAACTGCATCTCTTGTCTTCATCGGGCGTTTCCATGGGCCCAAAAGCAGCTTGTGGCCGAGACCTTGGCGGGATTCATTTTGTGCCCCATCGGTGGGTGCAATTTTTCCCCGCCCGGTGGGGATGATCCACCGGTGAGTCCGGCTACATAGCAATGGGTGGGATCAAAAGTAAATACTGAGGTACATCAAGACGACCGAGGCCTTGACGTGACCCGTAAACGGTTTACCAACTTTGAACCCCTCACCAAGGTCGCGGCAAACCTGTGGGCGACCCAAAACCCGGACCTATTCATGTTTCTTTTCTTGTCGAAGCGCACTCTCGGCTACGCGAAAAAATTCTTGTTAGGTTCAGGGGGGTCTGTGTGTCCCACAAGAAACCCAAAAAGAGTGTAGAAGGGACACAATAAATATACTGAAACTCGTAGCTTTCCGTAGTTACATTGGTTATGCGGGTCGACTTCTGCATTCTGTTGTTAAGAGATCTTCTATATAACTATCTGGAAAATGGTACGTCGCTAGTCATAATTCCTCGAGCTCATAGCTTCCATGTAACCTAGGTGACTTCCGAGTCCTCTGTGGCCGCCCAGGGTATACTCTTCAGTTGAAATTCTAGGAACTAGGAGACTTCTCTTTTGTAGCAGTTCACGCGACTCTTGCTTTCCCTGCGCTTCCACTATATGCAAACGAGTCAGTCCTTTGGACTTATCCTCTGTGTTGCTTGGTGAGTGAATGTTAGGTATGTCGCACTGTCAGGAGGCCCAATTCTTCTTCTTTTTTCTTCCTCTTTAGATAATGGCCGGCAGAGGACCTGTTAATGAGACAATGAGGACGTGATGGATGAAGTGGGGGTTAAGGCCAAGCGGCCACGCACTCACCCCTTTTGGTCCTACCGTCAGGTAAAGTTTGATACCTTTCGGCCGGATTTCGGGGCCGGATCGGCGCATGAGGGTTAACATACAAATCCTTTACAGCTACTGTCAGATATGTAGAGATTCTATGAAAAGATTTAAACTTTGGTAGAGGCTTGTGTAAGAGCCCAAGCCAACTAATGCCCGTATGAACCGTTGCTGCGACAACGAGAACCCTCAACTTCAACAAAACAACCTCTCCGGCCTGTCTCTGACCGGCCTCCTTTCCCTATCGAAACCTTCCTGATTATTAGGCCTCTGTTAGATAGCACTATTTAGCTGAACCCTTACAGCCGGTCAATATTAGCATTCTGTGGGCGCGTTCCTTCCGCCCAGAGGTGGGTTGAAACGTGGTGGGGCGCCCATGGGTGGGGTAGGCTGTGAATATTGTGGGACGACGATGGATAGAGGTGGATAAAAAGGTAGGTCCATGGCCGGCTCGTAGCGAGACCATCCAGCCAGTCTGAGTTTACACCACATGAATTTGATCGCGCCGTGCCACTCTATATAAACCAATTGCGGCATTCCCAATTCAATCAAAAGACTCCCTTAGCTCGAGATATCTAAAAGTTTCCCCAATTTAACGCACGATTTATAGGAAGTCATCCTCAATGAGCCGCCCCTCGCGAAGCCACTTCGGCCTTCTAATTGAAAACAAAAATGTTTTCACGGACGAGACCTTTAACGTTTTAAGTCCTATTAGGCAAGAGACGCTCTATTCGGCTCCTGTTGCAACTGAAGATCTGGCCTTGAAGGCCGTGGAAAGTGCCAGTGTTGCCTTCGGGACTTGGCGAGACTCGACTCCGTTGGAGCGGCGTACAATTTTTCTGCGGGCAGCACAAATTCTAGTCGAAAGAAAGGATGAACTAATAGCAGCTATGATGGAGGAAACCGGTTCAAAACCCGCGTGGGCCGCTTTTAATATTAAGGTTGGGGTTGAATTGCTTCAAGAAGCTGCCGGCCTCGCAACTCAGATCAAAGGCGAACTGTTACAGAGTAACGACAAAGGCGGGTTACTCCGTCGCAATTTTCGGAGGATTTGCTAACGGTACACCAGGGACCCTTGCCATGGTGTTCAAAGAGCCTTGTGGAGTAGTCCTGGGGATCGCCCCTTGGAATGCCCCAATCGTGAGTATCATTCTGGGTTGATGTTTCTCAGCTGAGCATCTGACAAATCCGGCAGATTTTGGGCATCCGCGCCTTCGCGACGCCTCTCGTTTGTGGCAATTCAGTTGTGCTCAAAGCTTCCGAGTCTGCACCTTTTACTCAGTATCTAGTTGTCGACTCGATGATAAAGGCCGGCTTACCGGCCGGTGCGCTCAACTTCGTTTGTTGCCCCCGTGCACTGGCAACGTCTGTGACAGAAAGTATGATCAACCATAAAGCCGTCCAGCGGATTAATTTTACAGGCTCGACGACTGTAGGCAGAATAATATCCAATATGTGTGCGAAGGCCCTAAAGCCCGCTGTTTTGGAGGTACGTGCTTTTTCCTACATCCCTCGAGACCTGCAGCTAATGAGTGAGTAGCTGGGTGGGAAAGCTTCCATGGTCGTTCTTCGAGAAGCGAACCTCGAGGAAGCCTGCAAAGCAGCAGCATTTGGTGCCATGCTCCATCAAGGACAAATATGCATGTAAGAGAACTGCCCATGGGGATATCTTCATACTTGAAAACATACTAGAGCTTTCTCAGGTCCACGGAACGAGTTATAGTTCACAAAACCGTCTCCAGGAAATTTTTCGAGATGTTGAAAGCCAAGGTATGTGTAGATTCTTCTCAGACTGAGCGTCTTAAGGGCTAAGTTGGTGAAGATTGATACCTTATACGCCGCTGATCCCGCACAAGATCCTCAGGCAGCATTAAGCTCCTTGATTAATCCAGTTGCGGGTAAGCGAGTCGAAAGCCTTATCGTGGACGCTCTTTCCAAAGGCGCAACTGTCGCAGGTGGTGAATTTAAAGTCGATGGTGCTATTGTACAACCACTACTCCTTACTGGGGTAAAACCTTGTATGGATATCTACTATCAGGAGACTTTCGGTCCTGTGGCTGCCCTGTACGAGTTCGACACAATCGAAGAGGCCATTCAGCTTGCAAATGATACCGAGTATGGCCTGGTATCCTCAGTATACAGCGATAATATCACCGAGGCTATCGCGATTGCACGGAAGATCAAGACTGGTGCATGTCATATAAATGGACCCACTGTCCATGGTATGTTCCTCATCTATTAAATCATTTGGACCACAGTAAAACATGTTGGCAATCTGACTATCAAGCAGACGAGCCCCATTTGCCACTAGGAGGCCAGAAAGCTTCAGGCTACGGAAAATTTGGAGGAACTGCTTGCATCAATGAGTTCACGGAGGACAGGGTGGTGACAATCTCGAGTCATGGGCACCACTATCCAATCTGAGGAAACCTTCCTATGCGCTCAAAACAGAAAGACCCGGAGCTATGTTCAAAGCAAGTTTGATTGGCAGCAGATCAATAAATGGACCTACTGAACTGCCACGATTTTTTGGGATTCTGCCACATATCACTAGTTCACAACCCCGTTGCTCCTATACTTGTAAACAACCTTGGACATCTATTTGCCTCTCGAATTCTGAATGGACATAGCACTACTCCAGGGCCTTCGTTTCAAGCCATACGTGAGGCATTGTTGAGAGGTAAGCCCACCTGGAAATGTCCGTATATATGGGAGTCCCATGGTGCATGGCAGCTTCCTTTCTCTTCCTTCTCCTTCAACGAAGAGCAGCTCTATGTAATTTTCCGATCACCCAGTTGATTCGTGCTCTCTTCTCAATCTGTTTGAGAATATGCATTTATTTTGCGGGATTTGGTTCTGATATATCTATGGCATCGAAGGTAAACAGGCCAGCTCCGCCGTATGCGTGTCATAAGTTGTTGTCCCACAAGCTGATGTTCGGCATAGTCGCTGTTCAGGATCCTTGAACCTACACTCCCCTTGGGAAACATGTCCAGTGGTCCACTAGAGGTTGTAGGCATCCTGTATTGATGTAATTTAATTTAGAGAGCATCTACATACGGATGCCCGTAAAAGGCACGCCTAGAATCCAGTCCTCGCCAAGAGGCCGTCAGGTTATCCACTACAATGGAGATCCCACAAGGCAGCGCAGAGAAGGTGTACTGATTAGAAATGTATGGGCAAGAGACAGCCAACGTAGAAATTTCGTTTTAGAGATCTGGAACCTTGCGCAGCGTATCAATCTGTCTAAAATCCAGATAATCGACTAGGAAGTCTGACGAGAGCCTACCATGGAGTCTGCGGTCCATACCCGGCCCCCGCCCGTTCATAAAATTTTCAAAATTTATATCCTTCAGGGAGAATGATAAATCTTATGGCTCATTCCGCTGCCCATTGAGGCCTCTTACAAGTCCGCCTTGGATATATGGACGCAAGTAATTATGCTTTCTTCTCGTTGCTGACAATTTCTTCGTGTAGTCTGCCTTCAATCTCCTCTTGCAAAATGATAAGCTCCTCTTCTGCCGGTGCGTCGATGTGCTTGTTAAATGCACTCTTTGGATTGCGCAGGAATAGGACCACTGTAAAATGTTAGTGTAAAGCTTTGAGAAAACACGTAGTCAATCACTCACCAATAACTCCTAAACCGCTAAAAGAAGCTGCTGCAATCCAGGCATGTCGGAAAGCCAGGACATAGGAATCTAGCACCGCGAGGCCTCCAGCCGCCGCAATCTCGGGTGTAACACCAGCCACTTGCGCGATGACTTGCTGGTTTCCAGATTCCAAAGCAGGAATAAGCTGAGCCAAACCCGTCGCAGGAAAACCTAGTGGCATAACTGCAGCTGCCACTTTACGTGACAGGTTTTTTACAAGTGCGGCGTTTAGGAGGGCGTTATTAATGGCAAGTCCGACAACACCCCCAAGACTTCTTGAAGACATCAGAATACCAGTGGTAACGGAAATCATTTCAGCTGGGGTGGCCATCTGAGCCACCACGGGTAAGTTCGTCAGAATAGCGCCCATACCAGCGCCAGCAAGGACAATATAGCCCCAGAATAGGCTTGGGCTGGAATCTGACTTGATGGTACCTGCCAAAAGGGACGTGGCCAGCGCTAGGCAGATAAAACCGGCCACTAGAGGCTCACGGGCTTGTTTCGTCACAGTGGTGTAGTAGGCTGCGATAGGTGCAAGGATCGCGGAGGTGACGAAAAAAAGCACAAAACGTGTAGCGCTATCGAAAAAGTCGGTTCGATTGACCATAGAGACCTCGGCCACGAAATAAGAGTTGACGGCAAAGAAGGCCAATCCTTCAACGAAGACTGCGAGGATGGCAATCGTGAAGTTCCAGTCTGTGAAAAGTCGATGGTCGAAAATGCCATCCTTCTTGATGAGCCATTCGTAAACAATAAAACAGGCGATCAGAACGAGGCCGCTAACGAATGGCGCGAGGACATGTGAATTAGTCCAGCTATACGGGTTATATGACCATTGTAAAGCAATACAAAAGAGGGTGAGCCCACTGCTAAAAAGAGCTGTACCAATCCAGTCGATTCGCTGAAGCTTCTGTGGTAAAGTTAAAGATGATTGAAGCTCTCGCAGTGGTGGATTATAGCCGAAGTATGCACCAGCAAGGCCCAAGGCACCGATCGCGATGCACATATACCAGTAATACCGGTAGTTCTCAGCATTCCCGTTTCGCAGAAGGGCCCCGCCGACTAGAATGCCGGTGACTCCGCCGAGGCCACTCGATATGTTGACGACAGCCTGGCCGAGTGCTCGATGACGCCGTTGAAGGACCTCCGATGGGATCGTATAGTAAAGAGACTGGCAGGCTGATAAAAAGCCTAACATGCAAAATCCAGCGAGGGCAGTACTCATGTTTTGCGCTCGTGAGATAGTAATGCATCCAAGGACACCCATGCATACACAAAATAGGATAATTCCTTTTCTCCCCCAGAGATCGGCAGCTTGGGCCAAAGACGGATTTATGGTGACGCTGAAGATATTGATGCAAGTGCTGAACCAAACTGATTTGGTGGAGTCCCCGAGGAGCGCAGCAGTTGACTGAGCTAGTAGGCCCGAGCCGACGATTGCAATCATACTTGTCGCAAGAACGAAGCTTACTGCCTAGCAAATTGGTCAGATTTTCCTGAAATCATGCAAGAAATCCCCCATCTTACAATAACTGCGATAATGGTTTTTGAATGGACACGGAGTTCTCGTTGCTGGACTTCGTGCACGGTGATATTCTCTATGGTCTCCACCCTTCCAGGTTTGGGACTCATGACGGGCGGTTGGGCGGTTTACCTGACTGTAAGTCGAAAAAAATGAGAGCGTGGAAGAAAATGTATTATTATGGGGAGTGACGTTTGCAAAGGATAGGCCTGGAGTTCAGCCTCCCTGTTTGTGCATTAAAGATAGGGCGGGAGGTTGGAGAACGCAGCCCGGTGGGAGATGAATCTGATTGCTTCAAATACCTCCTCTAAGGCCTTTTCTCTGTAGAGCTATTAGTCCTAAAAGCACGAATTGTCCCAGAACCACGAGGAGGTGTGGTTACACATGCGGGGAAATAATCCGGGGGTGGAGTGGTGATCCGGGGAAATAATCTGGGGGTGGGTCGTGATCCGGGGAACCCGTATCCGACACTGTGGAACATATTCCTCAACACGATTACCGGCTTGGCGCCGCACCGCCGCTCCCCACCGCGAATCCATACTCAACCAAGGAGGCCCCACCTAGTTAACAAATAAGAATCCACCTCAGTGGCACCGAAATACCGTGTTCCATGGGGCAGATCCGGAATAGTACTAGGGTGGGTTTTAGGTGTGTCTTGGCCATTTTCGGTGGGGTCTGTTTTCGAGAAGCTGGTCCACTTCAAGCCACTGGAGGCGTTGGTGGTAGCTTTGACCTGGGTATTTGCAGTGTATCTGACAGCAGAGAGCGAAAAAGAAACGATCTACCCACTTGTAAAGTCTACACTTCCCCAACCATATCCACCTTGCCGTATTTAAAGACAGCATCAAGGCGCTGTTTGGGGAATCAGTCAACCAGTAACCACAGTCAACATGAGAGCTTACGATCCATCAGTAGAGACCCAGGTCTTGACCTCTTCTTCCCCAGAGTACGAACAGTATCGAACTCGCATCTTCAACTCTCGCCAACCTAACCGCAAACCCATCGAAATTGTCTTACCCAGAACCACTGAAGATGTCGTCGTAGCTATCAACAGAGCCGGAGAGAAAAACATCAAGGTTGGTGTCCGCTCGGGCGGCCACCTGTTCGCTGCGCCCTCAGTCATCGACGAGGGCATGCTGATCGACACAAAATACTTAAATAAATCTCTCGAGTACGATGCGGCAACAAAGGTCATCAGCTTTAGTCCTGGCCACACGGTGGAGGACCTAGCCAACTACTGCACGTCGATCAAGAGATTCTTCCCGTTCGGCCACTCGCGCAGCGTCGGTATTGGTGGCTTCTTACTGGCCGGTGGTCAAGGTCTCTACTGCCGTGGCCACGGATACACCTGTGAGACCTGGGTCACGCAGATCGAAGTTGTCCTCCCTAGTGGAGAGGTGGTAATTGCCAGCAAGACGCAGAATCACGATCTTTGGTGGGCCGCTTGGGGCGCCGGTCAAGGCTTTTTTGGCGTTTTAACTAGAATCTGGGGTCGCACTAATCGTTTTCGTCAACAATTTGACGTGACCTACATCCTTGACTCAACCGAATGCTTTAAGCCTCTACTGAAGTGGGCCCTGGACAACTCGGAGCGTATACCCCGACATGGCGTCGACTTGATGATTGGTACCCTATACGCCGACGCTCAAGCTCCAGGTGATGGCGACGAATCCGAGGCGAAGCGGGTCTTCATGGTCCTTAACGCAACAATGGCTTGTGACAGCATCGAAGAGGCCAAAACCCTCTCCGCACCCTTGGGTGCTATTCCCGAGGAATTCAAAAAATTTGTCGTGGCCCACATGCCAGTGCAGGAGAGAGGCTGGGAGGACATGTGGGACCTCCAGGATAAGTTCATTCCTAGCGGACAGGGCGAAAGGTATCGTGTAGACAGCATTATCGTCGACAATGGCGTCAGTAATGATGAGGTAAGAGCTCCAGATGAACATCAATCATTCCGTGTTAGAGGAGAGGTGCTCCGAACTGACGCCAGTATATAGATTGTCGAGGCCTGTAGTCCAGCCTTGTTCGAACTTCCCACCCGCAAGTCCACCGGCACAATTATCATTGTCGACTGGAACCCCGATGAGGCAGATCAGGCGTTGAGCTTGCCGCAACGAATGACTGTGGCCACCATGGTGTGCTATCACAACCCTGAACTCGACGTCAAAATGGATAAATGGTCCTATGAGGTGTACAAGAAAGCTGAGAAAGTCGGTCTCGGCCAGTATATCGCCGATTTTGACGCCCAACAACGACTCACAAAGGTAGCGTTCTTGTTTGTCTCCGTGCTATAATATTTACTTGTTGACATTTAGCTTCAGGTCATGACAGACTCAGCAATGACAAAGTGGCTGAAGATCCGCGAGAAATATGACCCTGAAGAGAGATTCATTGGATATCGATCATTCAAGAAGTCACTGGAACTCAAGTGGAACCGATGAATGGCAGGGCCTCAAAGTAACTTGACTCAAATCTCATTCATTTGCGGACAACCATCCGCTTCCTTGCGGTGCATGGCTTGTTCAAAAAAACTTCTCTGAGAATCTGTATCGGATAATATAAGGCTCGGTATCTAGCGTCCGAGATGAAACATCCTTTTCCCAGCACCGTCTATCCTTCTCAAGGCAAGGTAAATGGAGCGAGGTCTTGATCATCTTAAATTTCCCGTCTGGATTACATGTCGCTGTCACCCATGGTATCGGTCTTAATATGTGAATATCTTATTATTCCTTGTATCTAACAGTCTTGATACGAAACTATTTTTCCAGGCTAGAGAGGTATTGAACCTTCTAAAACCGCTAGTCTTGGCTCTTCTGCGAGGAAGTGTGCTTTCGCCATATACGACCATTCCATTGATGTGCGCCACGCCAGTCTGAACGCCTTTAGCCGGCCTTAGCCCTTTAGCTAGGTTACTGGTGAAGAGGGCAGATGTAAGGCCATATTCGGTATCGTTTGCGATTCCCAGAGCCTCTTCTTCAGTTTCGAACGTAATGATAGACACACAAAGAAAGCTCTCTGTCTTATTAACGCCAATCTCTGTAGCCACTCTTGTAAAATGACTGGTCGCATCCGTGTGACCACCATCTGGGTTGTATTTCCATAGATCAAGTGCGCGCCTTTCCCAGAACACCCTTCACAAGTCCCTTCACCCTTCTCTCCTACCCCCTTTCACGTGGTGCTCTTAGACGGGCTATTTTAGAGAACACGGAGACGGGGAAACTGGCACTGGTCTGGCTCCGCGATACCGAGATGGAAGAGTATGGTCTACGAGGGTGATATAGCTTGCGGGGGTGTGGGTAATTCCTGCTCTCTACGTGGTGCCGGAGAATATCACCAGAAAGAAAAAGGAAGACGGAAGTGCAAGTAAGATGAAAGTTTTGGAAGAAAATAGAACGCGAGAATGTGCGGGCATTCGGTTCTATGCGGGTGTCTATTTGTTTCTCACGGATATTAAGGAGATGGGAGACGACTCAGTTTCTTCCACACTCAGTCTACATGTTTCCTTCTAGGCCGCCCAAACGTGCATCCAAAATTGCAGAGGTTCTCTTTTAAAAATTCTACAGCATATTCCAGCGTTTTGACCAACTCATCAGCAGTAGAAGCCCTGAAAGTGCCAATCTTTCCAGCCCCGGCAACTTTAGCGATTCCAGAGTAATCGGTCGTTGGCGTGAAGCTGATATTGAGTGCCTTGTTCGAGACTCTGGAAGCGGGCCCGTCGGGACGGACGGGGAGGAGCGAATTCTGCGGGGCGTTCCAGCCGTTATTGTTGAGAACGATGGTAAGTATCGGGATATTGTACCGCTTTGCGATCCAGTATACGGAGCCAGGGAACGAGAATAGGTAGGTTTCGTCGCCGACTATTTGGCGGACGAATTTCTTTGCTCCAATGTAGTCAGTGGCAAGTCTGATACAGAAGGCCTAGGTATTAGCAGGAAGTCCGTTAATGTTCGATCTACCACGAGTATACGGTTGGACTTACAGCTCCGCTACTCCAATCTGAGCCCTAAGTCACCTCCGCTATAGTTTCACAACGAACCTGGGAGCGTTTCTTGAATTTTCTCGACGACAAGTTGCGTGTCTGTGACTGCCTCGATCATAAAGAGGCTATCTTCAGGTACTGCCTTCCGGACCTGGCTGATTAGGTGCTCAGCTCCAAAGTAGCCTTCAGCGGTCGGTTCGGTTGCGGCACCTATTTTTTGCAGATGCTGGTTATACGCTTCCTGAAGCTGAGCCCAATGTCGGCTATAAGTCCGACGTGAAGATTGGGCCAAAGGCTACTTGCGTCGCAATATGCTGGTTAAGCTGAACTAGCGCCGCCGTATGTGCGTCGCATCAGGAGCGATGCTGAGCGTTGATGTAAAAGACGGCCATGTTCTACTTCAAAGGATCGACGTCTATATGGAATATTTGGGCATCAGGCTTTGGCTTGCAGCGTGTGGGGATCCATGGGACGCCGCAGTCCAGTACCAGAATAATGTCCGTGGTTTTGATGCTATCATCATCGCCACGGTAGCCACAGCCCAGACATGCCGGGTGGTCCGCTGTAAATAGCCAGATGTAAAGTGGCTGTGTCGTGGCCCTAGAGGATCGAATGGGCTTCAACGTACTTGGAAAAGACATTTCACTGCCCCCTGCGCCAAAGACTCTCAGACCCTTGACGGCTGTCGCAAGTTTGACCAGTTCTGCCTGCGCCCTAATGTCTTTGCCGGTGAAGTCCGTCACAACAAGCGGCTCGGAAGCATGGATAAGGGCCTGGGCAATGGTATCAACCGCCGACGGAGTGAGGGCTACCCGGTCGATCGGTCGAATTCCAGTATTGCTGGTCGACATGGTACGGCTTCATGTCGGCTTCGAGAACCTCTCTCGAAGTGTAGAGGTACACCGGACCCTTTGGACCGCTAGTTGCGAAGCTCAAAGCGCGATTCACCACTTGCTTTAGGCATATCTGTTAGCACGCGCATCATTGCTAGAGTACTAGCCCGGCGCTCCTGCTCTTATGTTTAACCCAGAGCGAAGTTCTGCCGAACATCCGCAATACTGCTCCACGATCGCTTTCTGGCTGTGAACATCTTAGAGACACTGGATATACTCAGTTCGGGATCCCTTTAGCTCTCCCTCAATTGTAAAGGGGGAGGGGACCGCAAAAATAAGTAGCGGCCTCCTGCTAACGGACGCATTGTGTACAGCACAGCCAAGAGCCTGAGTGCCGACGTCAACATGGACTATTACAACTGCGGTTTCCCGGTGACACGGCAACCATCTTCGTTTCCAAGCGTCAGTATTTGGTACCTTATTATGGGAAACAATAAATCACCCACCTCACTAGGACATGTTATGATAGTTGGGAAGCGACCCTTTCCTCCTGGTTTTGCACAATTGCTTCTCGGATACTTGGGTGGTGAGACCCAAGGTTATAGAAGCAGTGCGTGACGCCAGCATCCCAAAAACTGTCAACGAAAGCAAACGAGGCAGTGTAAATGCGACCGCTTGAATTGTTTACTGAAATATCCGCAAATTGTGTTCATTGTTCATTGCGAGTGATATAGGTTTCAATGTGAATGGGCATTGGGTTTCTTGTCAAGCCTCTTCATAAGCACTGCCCATTCGGCTTATACAGGCCCTCATTTCCCAGAATCCCGCCACAAGGGGGATTACTGATCCGACGTTTGGCCGGCTAACTCTCTCGGAATAGAGGCTAAAGTGTTCCCCCCCCCGGCGGATCGGGGGCTATATCGGTCCCGGATCTAAGTTCTAATTATCCCGTTGGAACGCGGAAGCCCGACTCTCCCTAGCTTCGGCTCGTGAGAAAACAAGAAAACAACCCCGGTTGTTCAGTTAGACTATGGCTTCACCTAAAACTATGGCTGAAAGGTTTCTCTTGCTTTTCGCAAGAGAAAAGTAAAAAAAAAAAAAAAAAAAAAAAAAAAAAAAAGAAGATAGTAGGCCTTGACGCGTACATGTTTTGCCCTATCTCTGGCTTGTAAGACGCACCTGGTACAGGGCGGTAATTCTCTGGAAACCTTTAAGGATGGTTCCCACGGAGCAGTTTAAACCAATACTGACTTATTCCCTGGTGCAGCACCTCGGACGCTGTATGTTTTCGGCGTTAAAACCGTTATTTGCATGCTATGGGTAATGACGCTGATGGCCGCCTGAATGACATCCTAGGGAAAAGGGAGCCGGCGTTATTCCTGACCGTTCGGTAGCTATTCAAGGGCTTCAATGCCGTGTAGCATTGTAACATGACGTCGGTAGAGTCTTGCGATGCCTATTTAATACTGCCGGCATCCAGGATTCGACCAAGTCACTGTTTTCCAAGTTCATCTACTAGATGAGGCATAACTTCATGTAGGGGCGAGGAGCATCAGATCTTGCCGATTGCGAAACTCCTGGAAGAAATATGAAGGCGACGAATGGGCTCGCCCGTTTCATGTCTTTTCTTTTCATTCGAGCCTCCGGTCCTGAGAGGATTTCTCGATCCAACTTGCAACTACATAATATACTCAAGAGTTCATCGCCGTTCCTCTCAGCCCAATCAGCACCACGGAATTCACCGACATATCGACCAGTTGCTGGAGAGAGTTCCACGATCCTCGAACGAAAGATGGCGTAGTCAATCGTCTAGAGGCTTCTGGAGTGATAACTACAGTTCCTGTCATTACATGGAGCGAAATTATGTGGTTTTATCAGTGCTCTACATGGTAGCTAGTGCGATCACTTTCTGGGTAGAGTGTTACCCTCCTTGACCATACTGGTAGGGATCATGCAGTACTTTGGATTGAAACCTTATCAAACATCTAGGAAGCGGAGGTTTTCGACCTGCGAGATGGCCAGCCGTCATTGACTCTGAGTAGTACATTGCCCACCCAAGTAGCGATCCTTAGCGTTGTACTCCATCTCTGCAGTGAATACAACTCATGCAAGAAGCATATCACTGTTCAAAAGCCCATCAATGAAATGTTCCATCTCGTAAGACAGCGTCATGTCTTCCTCGGACGCTTTGGCAAAGTCTAACTCGTCGATCCCAGCCTCTGGCTGGAGCTGTTCAGTCCATGAACTAAAAGAGTGGTTTGAGGTATACTCTGGGGCCACTCCTTCCACGTCATCGCAGAGTGTCTCGGAGTTAAAGTAGCTTGAGTCGATCTCATCTACATTCCCCTTGCGTGAGCCTAAGCTGGTACTCTCCATATTGAATGCAGGTGCCGCAATGGTTGCTCGAACTGCGTGTTCAACAAATGTTGCGCTCAGGTCCGCGGCGATGTAGTTATTCTTTAGTTTATTCAGGACCTGAATGCACTGAGAAAAGCCTCGAATCGCAGCATTGCGTACTGAAGAATCCACAGCTCTCAAGTTAAGCAGATGCGTCGTGAGAGCTGGAAGGAGGACTGTAACACCGGTGAGCGAAAGATACTTGACTAAATCCTCACGATCCAGTTGAGCCGCCACAGCGGTGATTTCTGCAGCTGCCATGCATACTAATTTGCGAGAATCTGGCATCGTGCTAGATAGAATGGTGGACGAGGAGAGCCCACTCTTCATTTCTCTCAATGCTCTTGGTCTATGCAATGTCGAAACAGCAGCATAATAAATCATTTGGAGGAGGGCCTGATGGACCCGCAAAGGGGCGTGTCCACGTGGTTCGGCCTTGAAAATTCGGTCTAGCGAGAAAAGGCGTCGGCATTCGTCTAATTCTTTGTTCCGATCTTCAAATTCCGGACTGTTCTCTTGGACTGAACGAAGCACCAGTCTGGATGACAGGCGCTCAACTCCCCCCTCTGTTTCTGGGTTGTAGCGAAGCAGGCAGTACTGCGTTGAGAGGATGCGACCAATGCTCAGACACACCGTTACTTTCGCGATGCACATTTCTGCAAGCCGCTGTTGCATGCCCACATCTCGTATATATTGACAATCGGGTATGGGGATACATCCGCCGCTGGGAATATAGCCGATGTCAAAATCCTCCAGGGTGAGCATCGGATACCCGTGATCTTCTGGTATATGCATTGGACGCCGCATACCAAGAGCAACCAGCCGGTCCCGCATCAGTACCGCCCACCATATTCGCCGGCGGAGGTGTACGAGTCTCCAAGGCATGCTCCCATCCGTTGGCGGCAAGTGTAGATTTAAATCCAGTGCTTTAGAAGCCACAATGCCCACCCATTGCCAAGTATCTTTTGGATCTTCTGGGGTTTCGTAATGAAACGTCAGGAGGAGAAGGCCTTGAATCACAGTCAAGCTGTCTGTTTCGCAATCATATTCGTATAATAGCTGAGAATGTCAACTCGCCTGTCACCGTCACAACACTGGTAGGGCAATGACATACCTTGGCTTTCCGGAAAAGCTCCCCCTGAGCCTCCTTACGCGATGCATACCCGGCAGCCAAGAGGGATGCCGTGGTAATGAATGCCGCGCCGGCGAACATGATACACTGGAAAAGAAATAACGAAACTTTATCAGGAGCTCCCGAGTTACCAGATAGGGAGGTAAGAAATCCAGCTAGGTCTAAAGCCGGCAAATATGGGTATACGAACTCAATATATGCCGCCAATAGCTCACCGCACATTTTCTGACTCGGCACTGTTAACGCCCCGCTCCATATGAGGGCTGATATTTCGGTTGGTCCGACGTGAGATAGTAGGGCGTTGAATACGGGTCTAGATATCGCGGGCTTATCCGAAGCCGGTAATGGCCTCTGATCGTGAGGATCTAATACTATAGTGTTGTCCTGACGTGAGAAATATGTGTGCGACACCTCTATGTTGGATAGAGGGCAAGGCTTTGGCTCTGGGCGGTCAGAATAGTGGCTAGCTACCCTATCTGTTCATTGTGAGCTAAGTTGGACCCCCTACTTGTGGCTACCCCCCCCTTTTAGCCACCCTAAATTCTAATAGCCCAGATAGCTACTGTTATCTTCTATTATAATCCTAATACTAGCCTATTAATAGTATTAGGTAGATATAACTAGTAATAAGATTAAAATAGTTATCTATTAGTAGTAAAGTAAGGTAGTTAAATAGTATTTATAAGATATAAATAAAAAGTATATATTTAAGTATAGGGGTATAGTTATACTTAAATTAACTACTAGAAAGTCTTAAAAGATAAACTAGATATATAGTAGAATTTATAGTTTATATAGATATTTCTCTTCTAAGCTTTCTTTAGATTACTTTAGCTTACTATAATCTTATATAACCTAAATTACTTATAGATTACTATAAGTCTAAGTAATCTATTATTCCCTATAATCTTAATATATTTTTATAATTTATTCTTTTTTACTAATTTTAATTATCTAGCTTTCTATCTTAGCTAAATATAATTATAATATAATACCTTTTCTCCTTTAATTTTTATTTTTAAAAATTTATAAATAAACTTATTATTTATTAGTTTTTTATTTTATAAGTTCTCTTTTATTTTACTAAAATATTTTTATTATAATTATTATTATATCTAACTATATTTATAGATCTTATTTTAAAGCTTCCTATAACTATTTAAATTTAGCTAATATAATTAAGTTATTAAATATTAAAACTAAAATATTA